CCTCAGCGCCCCTCTCCGCGCTCCTTCCCTCCGCTCTCCAGGGAATGTCTGGGGACCGAGTCCTCCTGGCCGTGGCTGCTCGCCTTCACGGGGGCGACCGCCCTGCTCCAGCTGACGGCCCTCCCCTTCTTCCCAGAATCGCCGCCGCACCTCTTGATCGAGAAGGGGGACGAAGGCGCCTGCCTCAGAGGTAACCGCTCTGGGGGCGTCCTCGAGAGAATGGGGCTCCCTTGCCAAGGCCAGGGGCAGAGCGGGGCGCTTCCTTGGCAAACAGCCGGCCACCGGTGGGTCGAGATCAGGGCACGGGTCCCCCTCCGCTCCCGACCGCGTCTCTCCTCCCAGCCCCTCCCCCTCCCCCTTTTCTCCGCTGCCAAAGTTTTCTTTTCGCTCTTGGACGTTTGACTCGCCCTTCCTTGGAGCGGAGGGGGGGGGCTTTGTCCTCACAACAGTCTTGTGAGGTAGGCTCGGCTCAGAGACACTGACCAAGGAGTGAGCAGGGAAAGGGCTGGGTTCTTCCCTGATCCGAAGGAGAGGCGCGCACAGGCCGCCCCTTTCTGGAGCCTAGCTCGGCGGGAGCGCCTTCGAAGAGCACCGGAGGGGTTGGTAGCGAACGCGCCGGTTGGCTAAAGGGCGAGGCAACCCCCTTCCTAGCCAAGTCTTCCTGCGAGAAAAGGGCCTTCCAGGCGCTTACACGGGCATTGGGCGGAGGGGGGGGGCGTGTGCCTGCCCGGAGCGCTCTGTGCCGCTTCTTTCACCCGCCGGCTTTGCCCTTGAAGCTGGCCTCTCTCCTTCTTCCCATCCCGGCCCCTCCTTCCAGCCATGGACCAGCTCTGGGGCTCGGGCGACCACCGGGAGGAACTGGACGACCTGAAGAAAGAGGCAGGCGCGGAAGGGAAAGGCCGCCGAGTGCAAAGCCCCCGCGAGCTTCTCCGGGACGGATCCCAGCGCCGGCAGTTGCGCGTCCTGCTGGCCGCCGTGGCCACCCTCCAACTGTCAGATTTCTAGTCCTAACCAGAAAACTTATCTTGCTATCTTGGATGGGAATGGTTCCTACTTGTTTGCTATGAGATATTTATATACTCTTATATTTCAGTCACCATGTATGAGTGTGGAAGCTGGACAGCCCCCCACCCGACAGACGCTGCCTTTTGGGGCGGGGGCTCCGGCGGTTCTGGCCGCCCGCAGACTCGCTCCGTCGAGGGGCCGCTGGCTGGGAGCTGGTCAGACTTTGGCCGCGCAAGGTCCGCGCCTCCGACCCCCCGACGGCGGCTCCGCGGGGCGACCCCGACCAAAAGGAGGCTGGAGGGTCTCCCCGGAATCCCCGCGGAGGGAGGGAGGGACGGAGGGAAGGGGAAGGGACCGAAAGGGGCTCGCTCAGTCTCCGTCTCTGTCGCCCCCCCCGCCC